GGTTGCAGCTTGTATGTTCCTCCAGCAGCTGCTGTGGCGTGAGATTCATTTCACCCGCTCTAAAGCAATGATTGCTGGTGAAGTGAGGTGGAATGGGTTGTAATTGTCTTGTACCCTGCGGTCTGCTCGAGCCTGTCATTAGGAAGCAGCCGAACTCTTCATTCCCTGCTTGCTTCCCATCCAGTAAGTGTGTCAGGCACTTGCTCTGCCAGCGCAGGCAGGAAATGCTTTGTCTTTGTATCCAAGGTTAATAGGTATTATTATTATTATAAATATCTTTGTGTCCAAGGTTAATAGGTGCTACTGTTTGCAGAGCCTTGGCTGGTTGTGAACTAGAGCCTACACCTTTGGCTTTTCTGTCATGAAAGCTCGTGCGTCAGCGTTTGAGCCGAAGAAGCCTCTGTGCTGCCTGTTAGTAATTCTGCTTCTCTTCTTCAGACGTTTGTTAGCCATTTTCGGCGTATCGTGGACTCCTCTCAGAACACCTACAATGAAGACACGTCAGTGCTGGTGGCTCGGCTGGATGAACTGGAGCGCACCTTATTTCGAGCTGGCCAGAAAGGGCTGAATGACTTCCAGTGCTGGGAAAAGGGACAGGCTTCTCAAATCACAGCTTCCAGTCTGGTCCAGAATTATGGGAAAAGAAAGTTCGCAGACACGGATGGTTAAAAGCCTGAAGAACATGCAGCTACAGCGGGGGACACAGAGAGATTTACAGTCTGTCTGCCGTGGAAGAGAGGTGAATCATCTTTGGGGGAGGACAGGCTCCCTGTCCATTAATGGGAATTCTCTCGAACATCTTTGGATTAGACCAGTGCAAATTTTAAAGGCAGATAGCAAGGGCATAAAAACTAGATTGCATCACATCGCTGGGTAGCTTTACAGCTTACTCATACCACTCCTCAGGATTTGCAGTTAGTGTTTGCTGGGTGGCTGAAGGATTTTCTAAAAGGGTAATTAATATTTATAATTCCTTACCTTCCAAATAGATCTTTACAATACCGGATCTGTTTGGAAGAAAGTGTAATTCTTTGTATTTCATCTTGCCCTTCCCATTCCAACCTCCTGGGAACTGCTGTTTCCAGGTTCCCCGTTCTTCTGAGAGCCCCAAGGATGTGGAAATACAGTCTGGTACAAACCGTGCTGAATTTTTCCCATTTTGTATACAGTAAGGTGGAACAAGTGCTCTTTGTGAGGCGGGACTGGTTTTCTTTGCTGACTTTTGTACAGATTGGTAGTGCCCCAGAGAAAAATACCTCCTCTGACCCATGTAGTGAGTGAAGTGGCCATGCAGGCCTTGCGTGCTGCCTCATCCTCTCTCTTCTTTTCGGCCCTTGCGGGCTTGGTGCTGCATGGGGTGGAGAATGTTCTTGTTTGATGCGAGTGGCTTTCTGTGATGGGTGTTAAGCTCCTCCACTTGTTTCACAGAGGAGGCAACAGAAGGTAACAAAGACCTAGTCCAGACCGGATCAGAAGCAGCAACTTTAGTGGAAATTCTCCCCATTATCAACCTCTGAGCCTTCTGTTATCCCATGAGAAATTCTTCTGATTACTAAATTTGGTTAATAGAAGGGACGGAGCCAATGAACTGAGTTTTCCTTCCTTCTGGTCCATCTAAATGATCCGAGCAAAATCATCCTAGTTAATGTCATTCTTGCCAGTAGGAGTGACTGGGGTTGGAACTTGCTAAGCAGCACAGTGGTTATCATCCCGTGTGGATGCCCTTAAACTTAGATTATCTGAAGTCCCATTGGATTGGAGACAGAAAGCGGATAGTTATCTCTGTAGGACATAGTTCCCGCAGTCACCAGGATGGTCGTCTTTTGGAAGCAGGTATTGGACATCTTATGGATGCTTCTAAGCATCTGTAGAAGGTGAACCTTGCAGCGTACCTAAGTGGAGGAGCCAGGCCGTAATGATACTGAGAGCTTCCTCTGCTGTAGGAATCGCTGGGAGGTGACAGCGAGATCCAGATCTTGGAGGAGTTGTTACTGGGCTTGCAGACGCACCTGGATATTGGAGACTTCAAGCTGGAAACCTCAAGTCCAAAGGGTGCGTGGCCACTCCTTGGCCAGAGGAGTGAAGGCTCTGCCTGTGGAGGCGGTGAGAAGGGACGGTGTGCTGGCATCATGAGCGCCTTGGCGTCTCCGCTTCAGCTGCACGGGGCCAGCTGCCCTGCCACAGGAGACTGACGGGAAGCTGCGCCTCACAGAGTGTTCCAAGTACATGCAAGATCAAATGCTGCTGCACTCCGTGACTTAGTGGCACGTAATAGCCTGTGCATTTTCATGAAGCTTTTGTCAGTTGTCTGTTTCTGGATTTTTATGTTAAATAAACATTTTGTAAGGGGATGATTGTAGTGTCAAATGTTTGTTGTTAATTGCCCTGCAGCGGAGAAGTTAGTCATAGATCAGAAAGCACAGATCTCTGGAAAACTATGGCCACGATAGATAACACAGTCCTGCTTCTGTCATTCCCCTTCTCTTCCAGGTCACACAGTTGGGAGCTGCATGTGTGCAGTCATCTGAGTGTAGAAGTAGTTCCTGTCTGACTTGGCCCATGTGGGTAACAGCTGCTGTTTGCTGAAGTCGTGGAAGAGACACTGCCATCCAATCAATACGCGATTGATTTTATAAATTGCATTATTATGAAATGCAGGATGGAGGGAGGTGATTCTCTGTTACCTTGACTTTGTTGTGGAGTGGTGGGTGGTGGGTGGAAATGGGCTGTCTCTGTTTTCGCACCCTGCAGCTCCAAGCACGGTAGCGTAGACTTCGTGTAGCCTCTCAAGGCTGTGTTCAGTGCTTCAGCTGCAAGGGAATCCCACACAATCACAAAATGGTAGGGGTTGGAAGGGACCTCTGTGGGTCATCTAGTCCAGCCCCCAAGTTGGAAGCAAGTCCATCTGTGATGAGAAGCATTTTTGAATTGGAAGTGTTCTTTTAATGAGGGGGTGGCTTTGAGATCTAGTTGGTTTATAACCAAAATCACCAGTCCGTCAGTTTCTGGGCTGGTTTTGGTGACATCCAAACTCATTTTCCTACATTTGTACGAACATTTTCTTCTCTACTGCTCGGTGCAAAATGCAAGCAGACAGTTGCTTGTTTGCCAACATTTGGTGCAGCTACTTTCAGAGTGGGGAGAAAAAAATCCCTGAAGTAATCCTCAGTGTCACTGGCTTTTTGTAAGTAGGCAGTGCCACTTTTGATAACCCTGAGTGTTTGGGAATAAACACCAGTAAGACCCTTAAAAAATCTGATCCTGTAATTTTAAATTACGTTATTTGGTTAGTACGTTTGATATTCTGTAGATTTTTTTTTTCCCCCTTGCTGGCTGGAATGCTTTTTTCCTACAGCACAACAAAAGAGTGCTCTGTACGTTTTATGAAAAAAGAGTCCTTTATGATTTATACAAACTGTCCTTTATGATTGCACAGCAGCAAGCTACAGGTTCGAGGAGTTTGAATTTGTGCATTTACAGTATGGCACAGTAAATCTTCGTTACAGAACTATACAGAGTAGCTCTGAAAAGGAATTTTAAGTGTTGTTTCTCCCCATGTCTCTCAGCTTTTAAACTGGAGGACTACTGCTGTTTATGAGAAAGCAGTCCATAGACACATTTAACGTATTGCCACAATGGTTTTCATTGCAATCCAATAAAGAATAGGCAAAATTTGAGATGCTGATTAGTTATGCGTTCACGTAAGAATATTTGTTTGGGTTTTAGTGGTCTGTTTTTGAAAAGAAGTATGAGCTGGCCTGGCCCAGTCCTTCCCCTAAAGTGAGGAGTGGGACTCGGTGATCCCTACGGGTCCCTTCCAACTGGAGATACTCTGTGATGAGCCCCATCTCACCCACCTTGGGATGGTGTTCATCCAGCCATGCCTTTAGAAGCTGCCTCTGCCACAGAAGCCCCGGCCTCCCGAGGCAGTCTGCTCCTGTGCCTGGCTGCAAGGCACCATAACCAAATCTGGAGTTGCGCATTTATTGAGACAGCTGGAGACATGGTCAGTCGAGCTTCCTGGCAGTGAATTCCTGTCACAGTGGGTAAGGAAACAGAAACATTTTCCTCAGGTAAGTTTTACATTAACTTCTCGTAAAACTCTAGGCTCTTCTTCTTTATCTCTTCTGTGTATTTTTTCAAGCAGGTGAGGCAGCCGTGGAAGGTTGACCCCCAGTTCAACAGAAATATCTCTGCAACCAGAACATGCACACTTTCTCACCGATCTGAATTACCCCGTCACGAAACGTTCAGGTTTCTGCCTTGGTCTCCTTTGCTTCCTTGGTTTGTCCTCTGGCTTTGGTTTGGATTTGGGCAGCGGAATGAGGCGGTCGATTGCTTCTGCCAGGCTGGAAGCAATAGGCGGTATCGTGAGGAGCAGCAGCAGGAAAGGTTTTGAGAACAGACATACTGTAACACCACATATTATTTTTATGAGAGCAACAGTGGCGCCTAACTGAGCCTTTCTGATCTTCACTAGTGATTTTTCTACCTGTTTTTCTAGTGACCAGCTATTGCAATAGCTTCATTCAAAATTTTGATTGAATCAGTTGCTTAATGGAGATGTGATGTAATCGGTAATGGCAGAGTGTGTGTGAATGCTTGCTTCCCACAGAGCTGCTGCTGTCCCCAGATGTGCTTTTTATAAAACACATTGTCCAGTAGCCCAGCATATGGCTCAGGAGTTTGTGGTTTTATTTATAAAGCCAGCTATTCATCTAGTGCTGCCTCTGCTTGGCAGGAGGCAACTCAAAGCTGTTCCTTGCCTCAGTTTCCTTTTCTAACAGATGAAAGTCACGCTCCCCTATTACGAGTGCGTTCTGTGCTCTGGATTGTATGCAGTGTTTTTGTCACAGCAGATATGCCAGCCAGATTTTCCCAGCTCTGCTGCATCTGCCAGAGCTCAGATGCTTACTTGGGAAGGGCTAGTCAGAGCTAAAAGATTCCCCTTTTCAGAAATCGCTCTGTTTTCCTCGATCAGTCCCGTTAAACCCTTACTGCTAAGCTTCTGCAAGACTGCCACATATCTGATAACTTATAAAAGTGCTTTTCCCACTGGAGAGCCCTGCTCTCCTACCTGAACAGCCGCTTGGCCCTGCAGAGAGCGGCCGAGTGGGCTGTCCTAAGCCCACGTTTCTCCTCCGTCTTCCTGATCTTAGCTGCTCAGAGCTGCTTCCACCAGAGTTGATGGCAGCCGGAGCATTAAATGCTGAATGGAACCGTTAGTGGAACTTTGTGCAAAAACTGGTGGAAGGAAAACGGATTGCCCTGGCTTCATCGTGTCACGCGAGTGAGTAATGGGGGAAGGCTGTGCACCCTTCCAACCTACATCTGATGGTTTTGCTTTGCGAGGCTGGCTTTGGGAGCTCAACTCGAGTGGGTGTAACGTGCTGATGAGGCAATGTGCTTCAAGTCTGGGGCTGTGCCAGTTCGGGCTTCCCTTGAAAGTGTCTCCTGGGTGAAGATCATCTGAGTACTTGCCTTGACTTGCATCTTCCACCACAGTGTTGCTGACAGAGAGCTGCTTCTTACATCTAGGTCCAGGGGGGCTTTTGGGTGTGGGGACAGCCTGATGGCCTTTTTCTGAAGCTGAACCTGATGCCGTGTCAGCAGGACCCTGGGGATGGTGTGGACCCTTTAACTTACATCTAGGTCCAGGGGGGCTTTTG